AAATATACTCTTCTCAAGAAACACCTTTCAGAAGTATCACAAGAGGAAAAATAAGTTTAAAGTGACTCCGATAACAATACCACAACACAATATTCTACCAACTTTCTACTTGAGGTTACAAAGCAAGCAGTAAAACCCAAGACTAAATATTACATTAGCTAAGATTTTTTAAGACTTGGATAACTGGCAATTTCAGATTCTTCAAACCATGACTGCCAACTCTAGCCCTTTCATCATCTTTTTAAGTTTTCACTTTTTCATTTTATTATTTATGTGAAAGGTTATGCAAATTCAAACTTTTATAGTTTAGAAGTTGTATGTAATACCACCACTCATATTGAGTCCATAAAAATGCACTGCGTACCTGTTTTGGGAAAAAATGGCATTATAAAAGCCTAAAATTTATTAGATACATTACTGATTTTGAATCTTAAATATTCACTTTTTGGGGGTGCCAGTCTTGGGGCTTGAACTCAGGGCCTGGGCGCTGTTCCTGAGCTCTTTTGCTCAAGGCTAGCGCTCTACCACTTGAGCCACTTCTACTTCTGGCCTTTTGCTGGTTAACTGGAGATAAGGAGTCTCACGGATTTTCCTGACTAGGTTGGCTTCCAGTCTCAATCCTCGGATCTCAGCCTCTTGAGTAGCTAGGATTACAGGCAGAGCCACTGATGCATGGCTTTGATTCTTAAGTCCAATTTAAATACTCAAGCAGAGTTTTAAATGACATGAGTTAAAATTAAGGTTAAAAAAAGATGCTAAAAATTGAATGCCACAAAGCAAGCATGATGGGACATGCCTTGGAATCCCAGCACTTTTAAGGCAGAGGCAGGAAGATATAGAATTCAAGCCAGGCAGCTCAAAAACGCTTCAAACAGTATCTGGGGGTTTTTTGGTTGTTGTTTTCAGTGGGACACAGGACTTTGACTCTGGGCTTAGGTGCTGTCCCTGAGTTCTTCAGCTCAAGGTGAGCACTCTACAGCTTGAGCCACAGTAGCACTTCAGGTTGGTGGTTAACTGGAAATGAGAGTCTCAACAGATATTCCTGCATGGGCTGGCTTTGAACTGTGTGCCTCAGATCTGTCTCCTAAGTAGCTAGGATTAAAGGTGCTCAGCTGTACCTGTATTTTTAAAGCTCACCTATTGTGAAATCACTACACACACATTATGTCTATTACTTTAACAAACCTAGTTTTATTAAATACATTCACAAAATACAAAACAGCAACTGACCCTTCTTTGCCTCCAAAATGAACCCATCCACTCAAGTCTGTTCTCTTCTCCAGAAGCAACCATCTTTCCTTTTAAAATTCCAAACATTTTTTCAATAGCCTAATGCAGAAGTCCTTCAGCTGCAGAAACTTACCACACCTTACATTTCACTATGCAGCTGTAGGAATTCTACTCACCTGAATATTTCAAACGTTCCCCTTACCACCACCACCTCCTCTGTAATCAAAACAATTTATTCACTTGATTTCACTATGCTTAAAGATATTTTACATCAACAATAACTATTCACTCATGCTTAATTCCACATTATCTAATTATCTATTCACTCCTGCTTAATTCCACATTATCTAATTATCAGTGCAACTGTTAGTAGAGCATCAGAAGGGTCATGTTTTCTTTTCTGGAACTCATTATGCATTAAAATAAGCTAATGAAGAAACTCTCAAAAGTAACTAATAATCTCTACTATCTTCAGCACGCACCTGTGTTCAGATGTACTAAAGATTTTAAAGAGCCTCACTGAACTGCCCCCTTCCAGTCCGTTTGTTTGTTATTCCTTTAAATTTTTTTTAAAAAAATTATTATTAAAGGTGATGTACAGAGGGCTTACCTAAGTCAGGTAAACTGTACATTGCTTTTTGGACAATGTCACCTCTTTGCTCATCTCCCAGTTTTCCCCTTCCAGCCTCACCCACAAGATGTATACTTTAAACAGTGTCCAGTGAGTACCACTGCTGCATGTCCACCCATTCTCCCTCCATTTCTGTGCCTCCTCTTATACTCCCCACGCACTTTGTTATTTCTTAAGGTCCCAGGTCCAGCTCTAGTCAAAGAACCAAAAATGGGAAGAAAAAAATTTTTTTTTAAAGTTCTTAAGTACACAAGTAAATTAAATACAAATCCTTAAGAGAAAGGAAATCCAGGGTTGAATCCCTACTCTGCCATTCACTGGCTACAACTTCTAAGCCTGTTCAGTTATAAAGTAAGCAGTAAGTACATCCGTCTCAGAGTTGTTATTTAATGTGTTTGGTTTGCTTCAGGCTAAGCATTGAGGGTGGCGGGGTGGGGGGTGGGTGGGGGGGTGGATTGATGGGATTTAAAGAGCTCTATGAAATGAAGGAAATACACCACCAACAAAATATCTGAACCTTAAAGTACAAAAAAAACTATTCTGTCTTCAGAGGAAGGACAAGCAAAACACGTTTTCCAAAGTCAACAAAATGTTTCTACAGCTTAATACTACTCAAGTATCTCTGAAAAAGGAGGTCCTAAAACTCAGGGAACAAAAGTCAGGATATTTTGAAGAGATCTACTACTTCCTTAAGTTTTTTTTCTTAAAAGAAAAATAGCAACAAACCCAAGAAGCCAGTTATTTCCTGTTAAGCATGATTTAACAAGAGGAAAGAGTGGAACGGATGTTATACCAAGCATTAATTTCTCATTAAACTCTTCACAAAGATCTTAAGAGTGTGGTGTGTTGACATTTCTTTTTTGTTCTGAAGACAGGATCTTGCTGTACAGCCTAGACTAGCCTGAATTCCCCTGCCTCCAGCTCAGGAGTGCTGGTATACTTCTTAATGAAAAGCTTACTCCATTTTCTTTCCATGTAAATAAAGGTGAACTCAATATACCCATTTGTATTTCAGCAAACACAAAAATCATTTATCTTTATTGAAAAAAATCTTCACAATATTTGAAAGCAAACTAGTTTTGATTTTCAATCTTACTGTACCAATGAGAAAGTTCATATGAAAACAATCAAGTATGGGCTGGGAAGTTGGCTCAGTGGTAGAGCGCTTGCCTTGCATGCTCAAGGCCCTGGGTTCGATTCCTCAGCACCACATAAGCAAAAAAGAAAAAACCGGAAGTGGTACTGTGGCTCAAGTGGTAGAGTGCTAGCCTTGAGCTGAAGAGCTGAGGGACAGCACCCAGGCCCAGAGTTCAGGCCCCACGACCGGACCAAAAAAAAAAAAAAAAAAGAAAACAAGTATGTATTCTACTTAAAAAAATCTGAAGGCAATCAATGTAGATGCTGTTGCACTTCAAAGTTCTCAGAAACTAATCAGTTATTGATGATAATCCACCTCAACCTTTCTTTTCAACAACATTAAAACTATTGTATTACACCAACACATGTCCAGATTATAATGTGGAATGAAGTTGCCTGAGTCTTGAAAACAAGGGAGCCTGTCAGAATATAGCATAACTGCTAACAGACAATTTTTGTTTTTTTGGAATGAAGGCTGTTTTTCAAATTACAAGGTAGTGATAGTTTGAAAACTTGGAAAGTACTAAAACCCACTGAAATGTGTATTTTTACATGTAAATTGTATAACAAAACTGCTAAGGATCATCTGTTAACTAAAATATATGACTCTAACATGGAGATTTTAAGTATAGAATACAAAAACCTGTTTTCCAAGGGAGGACAAAAGATGGTAGACAAGGCAATCAGATAAATTTCCTCAATTATGATAGATGAAAAGATGAACAAGAGAGCAGGATAAGAAGTCAGCAGTTGCCGGGCGCTGGTGGCTCATGCCTGTAATCCTAGCTACTCAGGAGGCTGAGATCTGAGGATCGCGGTTCAAAGCCAGCCCGGGCAGGAGAGACCGTGAGACTCCTATCTCCAATAAACCACCAGAAAACCGGAAGTGGCGCTGTAGCTCAAGTGGTAGAGCGCTTGCCTTGAGCTGAAGAGCTGAGGGACAGTGCCCAGGCCCAGAGTTCCAGAGTTCAGGCCCCACGACCGACAAAAAAAAAAAAAAAAAAGTCCGCAGTCTATCTAATCCAGTAAGGAAAGCTCAGTCCTGTCATATTGCTTGATGGCATTTCTAGGTTACCTGTCCTTTGGAAGGCCACTAAAAACCTGTTTTGTGGATTTTTTTTTTTAAACCAAAATTTGGTAAACTTCCTTGGCAATCTTGACAAAGCACCATGAAACATTTAACAGGCAGCAACTTTAAAGAAAAGTTTATTTTTCCTAAAGCTGCAAAGTAGGACTTCTTATAAAGATTTAAGTGTTTCACTGGAAACATTCTCAGATTTTTACCTATCCCTTTTGTGTTGTCTCCAAGAAAGCTACCAACACGGTCCTGATTCTGAGGACCCATTCACCCCCCTCCCCCCACGTGATTAGGCTTATACTTTTTTGCTTAATAGGCTTATCACGGGTTCAAAATACAGTTCTAGCCTATACTAAAAACAAACAAAAAAACTTAGCTACACTATGCTCACAGCCGTCATGCCAAGGGGAAAAAAAAAAAAAAAACCAAATCACTACTCCAAACTGAACTCTTCGGAATTTACTATCAAAACCTACCACACTATATTCTTCTTGATATGTGCACAGTTTTTGTCATCACCGATTGTAAACTGCGAAAGACCAATTCTAATCCACGGTGCCAAACCACAAACTCCTCAACTACCCGCCCCGCCCCAAAGTTCACGAAGCGGTGGCGTACTTCCCGGGGCCCGTGCGGCCTACTCGGATGGATGCCCAGCCCCAGGCCCAGGCCCAGCAGAAGCCCCCCTCGCTGCCGCTCGGACACGGGCAGCCTTTTTAAAAAATGTTTCAACCGCGAGGTCACACCAACCAAAAACACAGCACGCCCTTGCCAGGCGAGTACGTACTCGTTTGCTCCAAGTTCCAAATCTGGACTCTAAGGGCCGGCTAAGCGTCCCGTCCTCCTCCCCGGAGCGGCTTTTCCTGTTATCTAGCTGCCCCGGAGACCCGAGCTCCGGGCAGAGCGCGCCCCCTCCCCCGCCCGCCCCGCCGCGGCCGCGCCGGGCTTAAAAACCTTCGCCGCCGGGCGGCGGAGTTACAAAGGGCTCGGCTGCCTCCTTTGTCCTGGATTGGGGAGTCGCGAGCCTCCGTCGCCATTGGCTTTCCTCCCCCAGCTCCAGCCTCTCTCATCTCGGGAATCTGCGTCAGAAGTCACTCGCAGTCCTGCCAGCCCAGGTAGCCCTGCCGAGGGAAGGGGAGGCCGCGGGGGGGAGGCCAGGCCCGGGCGAGCGGCCCC